TAGATTGTCGGTGCACTGATCAAAGCTTGCACGAAAATGAATTCTTAGAAGAAAAAGACAACAAAAAGATTAAAAAGTACAATACTGATAAAACAGCAAACATAATGTCTATCTAAAATATTTACAAGGTTTCATCATTTGGCTGTCTCAAAAAAAATAAAAAATTTAAACTTTTCTGCCAAGCGCTTAAGTCTGACCAGTATCCAAACCTCAAAAAAAAATTGTTTAAAACACATTAGATTCCGTTCCAGAAGCATAATTCATAAATAATTTTATAGGCTTTTGGATGCAGTCCAGCTATACCTTTTCACAATATATCCAGACCCTTCGCATAAACAAATACCTTCAATTTTATTGACTGTAAGGTTTGTCAGATTGCAATTTTTTAGGTGGAAAAAAATTGTACATATTTTCCATGTCTTTTTAAAGGAGTTAATACTCAAATGAAAATAAGGTCGTATTTAATGTATCTTCTAGGCTTATCATTATGTAGAAACTGAGATTTAAATTCTGCGATGGGCTGGTGCCCCATCCTGAGTTATTCCCTGCTCTGCGCCTGTGGCTTCTGGGATGGGCTCCAGGCTCCTATGACCCTGCTTTGGACAAGAGGGTGCAGAAAACGGATGGATGGATGAGATTTAAATTAATTTCACCTTGAAATGTCACAAGGCCAAAAGAAATAATTCACATAGGAATTGCCTGAATATGCATAGCTTAGATCACATTATCCCTAATTATAATTAAACACCTACAAAAGAGGTGCAGATTACTGAGAAAAGGCCAGACGTTTAAAGGTAAAATGCTACTTTAGAGACTTATTGTATGAATGATGCGTGTAGGACTTTGGATGGCATTGCCTAAAAGGGAGTGTTAGGGGTTAAAACAAGCAAGAATTATATATTGGTCTCACCACCAGTTATGTCCGCAATAACTAACGGCCCAAAAGTTCTGCCTTTAAATGCTCCTTTGCCATCACTGAGACAGAAATATCAGAGAAGGGCTCCCTTCCATTCTTATATTAAGTGTTTCTGCAGACACAGAGCGCAGAAAATCAGCCCCTGACCTTTTCTCCCAAGAGAAGCTTCTGACTGCCAACAAATGAAGGGCTGGGAAGTTTCTGAGCCTCTTAAACAGGCAGTACTTTTGCTAAAATATGAAGCAGTTGTTGTTCTGCACCAAAAAGCTTCTTTCTCATGCAGTGATACAGAGTTTGGAAAGCAAGTATTTGTATTTGATGTCCTTAAACTGTTGAAATTAACTTACATATACCTTTCACCAAAATTGCAACTCTATTAAAACACACCTCTGGTGAACGGAAAGGCTCATTTTCAGTCAAAAAGGAGACAACACAAGCTTGTCTGATTGCATATATGAAGAGCGCCCCCAGGTGGTAGTGTAGAATTAGCTTTATCACCATTCATGCCACCTACGGCTGCAGATTGTAACCTATTTCTGATTAATTCCCATAAATCCAAAGCTACATACTGTTACATACTGTTTTTATTGAGATGTAAAGCAACATTCAATTTAGAATCACTCTATTTATATTATTATAACAAGCTGAGAGATTTTCCATTGCTCCAGCAAAGTAGTTATCAGAATAATTTAATTAGCAGACTCCTTTAGGTTGAGCATTCCTCGAACGTGATGTAACCTCTTCCTTGGTCTTCACAGCCTCTAGGTTCGGAACTATTGATCTAGGGCAGAGTTGTCTTTTGAGAAGGGGCATTGTGTGCTGCGTGTAACAGTGCCATCTGGATGTGCCCACAGGAGACGTGGTACTGGCCCGGCGAGGTGAGCGCCGACAGGGTGGTGATGAGCGGGGTGAGGTGTTCAGGCACAGAAATGTCCTTATCTCACTGTCTGCATCACGGAGAATATCTCGACTGTCCGAGAGGAGGGGGCCGCTTCGCCGCTGGAGTATCCTGCTCAGAGAGTAAAGAAAAAACATAACTTTCTTCCAGTTCTCCAGCCCCCACCCACAGCCACCAGCCATGACAGTGGTCAGAAGGGGTTAGATTGGCAAAAATGTTTCGTAGAATTTTTTCAACCGAATCAGACCATATGTTTTTAAAAAAATGCCTAAACTTGAGAAACATTTGTCCTGACCAGCATGGATGTGGTAGATTTTCAGGCTAGATTCTGAGATGTTTCATGTGGTAGCTTTATACAGTAATGACACTGCATTCTCAAACTGTGATTCTTGTGATGGGTGATGTTTGGCTCTGTGGATCACGAAATTCAGATCCCATGGCTGGTGGAGTGAAACTCCAAGCGCCCCAGGGATTTCCTGACTCTGTTCTGATCCTCACTTGTATGCTGTTTTGGACAAAAGAATCTTCTAAATGAATAAATTATAGTAGGCAGTCATCACCCTAGCCTCTTTGTCTTGTTTCACTCAGCGGCCCCTGATCTGGTCCTGAACCCCCAGATCGTGGAGCAGACCACCTATCTGGAAGACCGGCCCATGGTGATGCTGCAGTGTGCCTATGAGGAGGACTGCCTAGCCAGAACGGCCAGCCAAGTCCCTGCCAACTCATACCGGCGTCTGCTCCGCTTCTCCTCGCAGATCCACAACAACGGCCAGTCTGACTTCCGTCCGAAGGCTAGTCGCGAATCCTGGGTCTGGCACGACTGTCACAGGCAAGCATTTCAGCATTTCCGCCAGATCTCAGTTAATCAATCTTCTAGTCTTCGTAAACCAGACAGTATTTACTCTTTCTGACTGGAGCTGGCATTTAACACCATAAACGATGGTCAAATATGAAATGCGAGTTAAATACTAGATTGTTTTTTTTGCTGACGGAAACACACATTATAATGACATGGGATGGTTTTACAGTACAGTTTGGTTCAGATGCCGTTTTCCATTCTCTCATCCCCGTGCCTTGTAATCAGCTCGGTGTGTTTAAATCTGTGCAATGCAAACAGTCCCGAGTTGTTTGTGGTCGGCTCGTCTCATTGGCTGCTTAACCCTGGCAGCGTTGCTCGATTCCAGAACCTCACGAGCCTTGAGCACTCTTTCATCATGCCCTGACAACATATGCAGTAAAAGTTCAAAACGAGCTGCTACACAGAACTTCTACAAATTATATAGTGTCATGTTATAATTTTGGGGAATTTTTTTTGGGGAATGACTGGTGCTCTGCTTTAAATATCTGAAATAAAAAGGGATGCTAGATGAAGAGATTAAGTAATATATGGTAACTGTAAGGACAAATTAATACTGTAATTTCCACCCACGTTAATGACAAAAGACCCTAAAGAAAGATTAATCTTTGAGTAAAAGGCATTGCTTCCTCATGTTCTTTTCTTCATGAAAGGTTCTCACACATGTAAAAGTATCAGTGGAATAAACTAAACAAAATACCTTCTGATATGCAGTTTTTTTGATCCCATGGCAGAAATTCAGTACTGAGAATGTCAATTTTACCTTAAGTCTACCCTCTTCAACAAAAAGTTCTTTCTTAAATTCTATTACTAATGAAGTTCATTTTTAGTCCTCCCTGACAAAAAAAAAAAAAATAGTTTTTTAGGCTAAAAGTTATGTTTAGAAAAACTTTACTGAGTTTATGGTGACAGGAAGGTGGTATGTACATTTGATTTGTTTGGTAAGAAATATTTTTGGCAAACCTGAGAACAATGTAGTTAGTCAAATATCAGTATATGGTATGGCAATGAAAATGGTTAGGAATGTAAACATATTTACTCTGTATAATAATGTATAAGACATGAAACGAGGGCCATGCTGTTTGGGTGTAATCTATGTGGCTGGTACAAGCACGTCAGGAATCATGAACATTTTCCTAAAATGCTACTTTAAGTGACTCGTAGCTATAATCTCTGGTTCTGTAGGCATTACCACAGTATGGAAGTATTCACTCACTACGACCTGCTCAACCTTAACGGCTCCAAGGTGGCTGAGGGACACAAGGCCAGCTTCTGTCTGGAGGATTCAGAGTGTGACGAAGGTGAGGGAGCTGCCATGTAAGATTGCCACAGAATTTCCACTCATGGTTACGTTTGTTTTTACAGTACAACATATGGTATTTATCTTTGATAATATACTAAATATGCTTTCTTTAATTAAACAGGTATTGAGAAGAGATATGAATGTGCAAATTTCGGTGAACAGGGTATCACTCTGGGATGCTGGGATACATACAGGCATGACATTGACTGCCAATGGGTAGACATAACGGATGTCAAACCTGGAGATTACATATTCCAGGTAATTTTTAAACCCACTTGAATTGCATAAATTCTGATTTTTTTGTCATTTTAAGAGCACACTACTTTGAAACCCTAATCGTTTCAGTCGTCCATCTTGAAACCCACAGCAAACCATATTAGGATAAGTATTCATTACGGTCATTGGTGATGCAGCATTATCTCTTTTTCGCTTTGCATTCAGGTGGTAATTAATCCCAATTATGAGGTGGCCGAGTCGGATTACACCAACAACGTCATGAAGTGCAGGTGTCGTTATGATGGCCACAGGATATGGATGTACAGCTGTCATATAGGTGAGGTCCTCACACCTACTGTATGCAAAGGGGTCTATTTTAGTTTTAGTCTTATCATGATAGACACAATATTCACATATACATTTAGTAATTGTTTACTTGGTATATTTCATCGGGAAAAAAAGTCAGCCTATTGGTTCAAACTGGGGCTGCACCCCAGCCAGAAGTGACAGGGAGCACATGCACATGCAAACTGGACACAAATCGCAGGATTCGAAGCACCAGCTTTATAAGGCAACAGTGCTGTAGTACTCTAAGGTTCCAGCACTCTAAGTGTATGGAAAGATGCTCAATGAAGCATTTCAGTTATTGTCTTTAATTACCACCTTAATTTCAGGGTAAATTAATGTCACTTCAGTTCATAAGCTGATGTAAAATAGTGTGCTAACAGTGATAAATTAATACCCGCAGTATTTACACCATAACTCTAGAGGACAGGCAGCAGGCTAGAGGTATTGAACAGTATAGGCTGGATTCAGTTTAATATATTTATTTCTTAAGGAAAAAAAAGTTACATTCAAATTTAGAGCTTGCAGGTGCAGATGGCGGACTCTCACTCCAGAGTTCCTGTTTGGGGGGGGAAGAGAACAGTGATAACTTTAAAAACAGATTTTAGTCATGAACCTGTCTGGCTCCATACTGCAGTCATCATTTTTTATCCTTAATCATTTCTTTTGTCTTTATTGCTCGACACCCTATGGCAATGGCTTTTAAGAATTATTTTTCAACAAAAATCTTGCAAGGAAACTGTGCGGTGTTCAGGATTGTGTTTTACACTTCTTATTTCATAGGTGGCTCATTCAGTTCTGAGACTGAAGATACGTTCCCAGGACTTCTAAACAACCAGGTGACCCACAGGTAAAAAGAGGACAGGACAACAAAAGGATCTACGTCTTACATCCAGTGAGATGAAAAGCAGCTTAACCTCTGATTTTTTTCAGTGGTGGATGGATGCTTTTTTTCTTTTTAGTCATAATAAAGTTCATGGGGAATAATTTCACTCCATTCAGTTTCTCATACATAAGAAGCTTGCTTTGTGATAAATTGCACAAATCACAAAGTACTTCAGGTCAAAATTCATAAGCCTTTCAGCACCACACTTCAGTAAATTATCCATGTAGTTCCCATCTTGCTGGCATGTAATAGCAGATTCACTTTTGGCATTTTGAGGTAAAATTATTCAGTATATAAAAGGAATCTACATTCTCTACATTTTTAACTTTATAAATACACATTGGTCCAGAAGTCATGGTTCCTATATGAAAGATATTTTATGGTACTACACAGTAATATGCAAATCTGTACTACTGTTGTTCTTTCTGCCCCCTTCAGCTTTTGTTTAACAGAACCGCTTTGTAGTCAATTTCACACTGATTCTCTGATGTGGCCATTTTCTTTAAGACCATCCAATCGCCTGCTTTTGTCTGGAAGTCTTATAATTTTTTTTATGGGTACATCAGTCTAAGTACTAAAACCTTGTGGACATACAAAAATACCTCAGCGAATCTAGTTTCGGTTTAAAGTCTATGAAACGGGGCAATTATTCCTGGTGATGGTACCTTCAGCTTGATTTAAGATTATATCGTATGTCACACTATGTAAAGACTACAGAAAGTCCTTATAGACTAAACATAAACCAAAATGACCATGACAAGTTAATCATGAATATACAATTGGCTACTAGTGCCAGTGGTTGTAATTATACAGGTTGGACCGATATCATATCACACAGTGTACATGGTTACTTCAGCATTATACAGTACAAGTGGAAAAATCAATAGAACTCCTGTGGACAGTTGAAGTATGATTTATAAAAAGTAAAGGAGAATTTCATTTAATTTTTTATTTTCTACACGTGGTGAACAGTTTCCAGCAAGCCTTTAATGTAAATTATTGATGTAAATGTCAGGGATCGATTCAATTGTTTTACCATTTGTATAAACAAAGCTAGAGTGTATGCAAATGTCTGATTATGGTTTTCCTTCATATTTGTAATGGTGCTATCAAACTGTGATCCTCTGTTTTACGAGGGTACACATTGCCAGCTGGTGAATGGTTATGTTACCTATGCTCATACTTGAATGGAGAATAAAATCAATATTGTGCTTTTGCCATAATAAATAGAATATTAAGCAGACAAAGGCATTGTTGAATTTTTATTCTTTTTTAAACCAACCATTTTACCTGAAACTCAAATTCTGTTCAGAAGATTATCTAGATTATCTGTTGCACTTTAAGAGTTCTTTGATTAGTGATTTTTAAACTGAAACACCTGTCAAATTAACTTAAAGTAGCTTACTAGATGGCTGCTCACCAAAACAAAACCAGAGACTCAATCCATGGATTACCCACAAAAACATGGAGCTCCCAGGAATGTGGAGCCTTTGGATTTAAATAGAATCTTAACCACTGTGCCCCCTGTGGCAAAGTACACACCTGTACAGTCTTCCACTAGCAACTCTGTCCTTCAGGTTCAGCAGTGCCTTTGTGAGGTCCCTCTCTCATACTCTGGATAAACTCTGTAAGTTTGAAAATCATACAGTATACCATATGCCGGTAAACATGCTGCATGATCACTGTATTTATAGCAAATCATATTTTCATAAAATTAGCACTAACACACAAATAGTGCCAGTAATATTTTCAAGCCTGAAGCTGCATGTCATACAGATCACAAAAAAGGGGGGGGGGGGCAGCAACCTTAGATACGTGCTGAATTTATTGCGAAAAGAATGAATGTATGTGTCACTATCTTTTCATTTAAAAATACATCTTATTAACGCATTGTAAGAAAAATCTTAATTTTAGATTATATTTTGCCAGAAACTGTAAAGTAGTACATATATATTTTATATATATATATAAAACATTATTTTGGTAAGCAATTCACAAACACACTGTATGCCAAACAACAACATTTAAGCCAACAAAATTCCACAAATATTTAAAACATCCTGAAGATACATTTTATCTTCAGATCATATCTGAGAACTTGTCACATACCTGCACAGCTCACTGCTTTGGCTCTTGATTTATTGGTGCCTTTTGACAACTTCCGGACTTTCAGCAGTGGATGGCGGATTGATAGGGCTCTGAGTGCTACAGAGGTACAGCATAGAAAAATAACTCAATTACATCAACAGATAGCAGAGCCTGAACTGGGTCAAACACTTTGCCTAGTTTTCTAGAACATCCAAAAGTTTATCAAGGTCTCAGAACTTTTGATAATTCTGGATAATTAGGCTGCCAACATTCAGTATTCATGCAGGTCGAGGCAATACCTGCTGACTCGCTGGAGAAAATGCCAAGGGCGTGAGTGTTATCAACCCGCTTTATCGTCAGACCTTCCTCTCTGGTGGGAGAATAATCAAATGAAATCACATGAAAACACTTCCTACTTAGTTGTATACATATGTGGGAAGAGAATTTCAGTGAAAACATGATATGATTTCAATTACACATCACCTGAAGTCGATGAAGGCATCAAGCATGTCATCTCTATTAAACATTGGAGGGTAACCGTATATTTCAACAACATGAGAGAATTCTTGGGTGTCGATACACACTCTCCCATAGTACGAGTAGTCATTCCTGGCCTTCTCAATGGTAAAATCCATGTCCTCCAGGTATGCGAATATCTGCCACCGAAATATTTTGATTATTGATTGCAAAATCATTGAATGTTGCCAAGCTTGCAGTATGCATATGAATTGCCTTATTCCTTTTTATTTAAAAATATAATTTTTCCAATACTGTAAAGACATAATATTAAGTACAAAACACTAACATCTAACAACACTTAATTCAACATTAAACATTAAGTAGTAAAGTGATATGTGGAAGAGCAATGTACCAATATGAAGTAGAGCAGTGGGTAAAATATAGAGAATGCTACAACAGTATTATAAAATTAGTAACTGCCGTGGAGCAAATTGTGTAAAACATTTCAGGCCACAACCTCATACAAACAAGACTAGAAACGAAGGAGCCGACCAAGATATTTTCTTTCACTGCCCCCTGGTGGACATTACGTAAATTTGGAGGATTGTAAGTTAACTTGTGTGCAAGTATGAATAGCAACACCGCGTGCTTATCAACAGCAAGGCATACTTGTTGCAAACGTGATCATAGTCATAGTAAACGGAAATATCCGTGACAAATAACAATGTTAAATGTTCATTTAAATGTTAATTTGGAACAGTTGTGTGGCAACTGAAATCTCCTGCTATGACACCCTGTTTACCATGATTACTGTTTACTGATAGTAAAACCCCTAATGCCTTTTACCTGTTGGGTGTAAGCTTCAGAATCATCTGCATCTTTCATCTGTGGCCTAGTTAAAACCAGAACTGGAGCAATACTGCCACCTCCTGGACAGTCATCCAAATGCATTTCCATAAAGTTAGAAGCCATCTGATCAAATGGTAGAGCCTGGCCAGTTACAGCAAATCCTTCTTTTGCGTGGAAGTGCGATTCTTCTGATCCACTCAAGTTGTGTTCCACTGAAGCAGGCTGATGCGAGGCACGTAAATGGCTGTCGCTGTCCCAGGTCTGGCCAGGCACATTTCCCATGTTTTTGGGTGTTGTGCAAGTTCCATTTAATCCCCAGTTTTTCTTACATTTCGATACAGGCTTGTAGTTTTTCCTCTCCCTGTGATGGCCTGAGGGCGAATTTTCAAATTTTACTTTTGGAAAACCATCCTTCTCTGTGGGTAACCTGAAGAAGACAAATTAATTTTCAATATCAGTGTCTATATAAGTCACATCACGACTGGACCTCGTATTTATGGATTTTTTTCCCCTACGGATCAGCTACAGTAGGAGTTGGACAAAAATCTGCAAAAAAAAGGAGCGAGGTCATGAATGTATCGCGATCCACAAATAGACGGGAAGTCATCCACAGATATGCATTTCACGGAACACAAATAAAAATATATATCTGTGAATAATGATGTATGTTTTTCTACAGATCAGCTGCAGTAGCCTATACAGAGCCCCTAAGAGGTCTGGGAGGGAAAATATTTTTTGCAATAGTTTTGCGTTTCCGTTGCTAATGACAACTGTACTGTGTCCGTTTAAAGAACATAAGAACTATACAAACGAGAGGAGGCCATTCGGCCCATCGAGCTCGCTTGGGGAGAACTTAACTATTAGCTCAGAGTTGTTAAAATCTTATCTAGTTCTGATTTAAAGGAACCCAAGGATTCAGCTTGCACTACGTTATCAGGAAGACTATTCCATACTCTGACTACACGCTGTGTAAAGAAGTGCTTCCTTAAATCCAGTTTGAAATGTTCTCCCGCTAATTTCCACCTATGGCCACGAGTTCTTGTATTTGAACTAATGCTGAAGTAACTATTCGGTTGAACAGCATCCAAACCTGTTAGAATCTTATAGACCTGGATCATGTACCCCCTCAGTCTCCTTTGCTTGAGGCTGAACAGATTTAGCTCAAATAACCTCAAATAAAGTACAAAGGAAATAATTATCGGACTAACCTAAACGATACAAACATGTCCAGTTAAGCGCGCTTTAAGCATTAAACTATAGGGGACAATGCCCACTGTGTGATTTTCATTTATGTGTTTTTAAACGTTTTTATTAGTAATCGATTAAATTTTAAGTATTAATATAAATAGTCATTAAAATTTACCCATGAAGAAATCTGGAAAACCAAGGGGTGCTGCTTGATTTTGTTTAAAGATACATAAAGATGTCATAGTTTAGGTTTAAACCCGAACCCACTTTCGGGTATGCCTCCCTGGTATTCCCCCTTTGTCATGTATGTGGGGACATGCGGATCTATACAGAAATACTCCAGAAAGCGGGTACCAGTTTAAACTATGACACCGCGGCAATGTTAACTTTAACTTCAGTTTTCCGTCTGTAATATCTTTCAATGTCTGTAATATATTTCAGTGTGTCTATATATGTGTGTACTTTACGTTCAATAGCCCAGCTGTCTCGCTTAAAGTCACTGGTGGTGAATGGAAACAGTGCAATTATTAATAAATCCGTACAAAAACACATAATATTAAAGTTACATGGTGTACATTGTCCCCCAGAGGTTAATGCTTAAACCACACTTTACAGGACAAGCCTGTATTATTTAAGTTTATCCTTGCCCTCAGGTTGCAGCAAATAGCAAGTGGGCAAGTGTAGTGGGATCACAAAACTATTGCAAATGAACACAAAACTATTTCAAAAAATATTTTCCTACCCAGACCTCCGTAGCAGTACGAACTGGCCAAAAATCTGCAAATCAACAGGAAGAAGTCAGAAGCCACAAATGTAACGCGATACACAAAAAGGCAGGACGTGATCCACAAATGTGCACAACACGGTTCACGTGTACAAATCGCTCCGTATTTTTGTGGATATGATTTTACAGTTTACACAACACAAAAAATACACATTTGTGCATACTCAAATATTTGTGGATCATGGTACATATTTGTGGATTGCCTTCAGTGGGTTACAAACAATAAAGTCCAATAAAAACTTCCACACAAGTGCCACATCCCACGTGGTGGCGTGTAACCTTGCAAAACTATCATCCAGATGATGAAAAAATGTTGCCGTAAACAATGTTTTTTGCGACCCCACGGAATAAACGATAGAGCGGAATATGAAACGATAGACGTTTTTATTTCCTCTTCCGATATATATCGTCGTATCGCACAGCCCTAGCTGACAGCTCGCTGGTAAAGTTCCGTCCTGCACCTGAGGTGGGAGTCGCCCACTGCCACCTGCCACCTTCGGCCGTGTCCCACGGAGAAAGCGCGCAGCCATGGATAACTCTCAATCGTCTTATGAATCAGTCCACAAAAATGAAGGGGCAGCGGAGGAAAGAGCAGGATGCTGCATTGACAAGGGGTTGGGGGCATGGAAGGAGAAGTAAGAGCCTTTAGTTCTGTCCTATAAATGAAAGTTGTCAAATGTAAAGCTATAACATTATAATAATTTTGAAAACTTTGTTCATGAGTGGTGGGTAATTAACGATTAAAACAGCTAGCCAGCTATACATACATCCGGCCACTTACTGGCAGATTTCAGATATAAAGCCTTATTTCTTTATTACCTTTTCCGTTTGTTTTTCTGTAAAAATTGTACCAGTTCCTCTGTGATTTTATGCACAAATTCATTTTCTTGTTTTGGAGGGTAACGGCCATTTAGAAAAGTGGACTCCAGGGTGCCTAGTTGCTACCGTCTTAGCAACAGAAAAACCTGCAAAATATGCAATTTGGTGAAGATTCTGCATTCATTAAAAATAGTTAGGCAGCGTGTGGCTCAGTGGGCTAAGCCTGGGTGCCTGTAATCAGAAGGTTACCGGTTCAAACCCAGCTTCAGCACATCTGCGGGTCCCTGAGCAAGACCCTCAACCCCCAGCTCCCTGGGCGCCGCTACGGGTGGCTGCCCTTCGCGGACAGCTCACTCTACAAAGAGCAAGTTTAGGGAGGCGTAAAGACAACTTCCCCACGGGGATCAATAAAATATCGATTATTATTAGTAGGTATGTGAAGAGCGCGGCCAACATGGCCGCCTTTTTTGTTCCAGATTCCTGTTCCACCATCGGGTCATCTGAGCGCTGGGTATACCCCGGAAAATACGCATTCTTATTGTATCGCATTGCGGAATTCCGCGGTATTCCCACTGATAACATAGATGGGGAACCCCTCTTCGTCCTTCGTTTTGAATTTTTCAATTCTGTGTACATTTAGATCTTTTCCGGAAACGTTGAAAAATACACTCGATTTCAACATACAAAAACCACTTCAAAGGATTAAGTGACGCTTTTGAAAGCTAAATTGACATATTGTTTATCATTTCATCTTTCTAATCCTGCAGTTTCATAGCTTTCTATGAATCAGAAAAAAAGTTTACTGACCAGAACACCGGCAGCATACAGGATCGTCACGGGCCAAAAATCCTGAAATCTGCTGTATGATACCATTGGCATTTAATTTGGTTGAGTTTGAAAATTTTCTTCACATACCTATTATTAGCCTTCAAAAGCCGGTTTTACCAGGATTGATAACCCTGACCCATCTGGCGTGACACTCCGCTTTCAGACACTCACGCAAAAAGATCTTGCGGCAAATCTATATTATATATTATTCCATTATGAACCTAAAATTAGCCAGCCAGCTGACCAGAGCTGACAACCCTGTTTTACATACCACCCGAAAGATCTAAACACGTATCGTTTACGCATATTAAACTCGTTTTAAGAAGTGATCATAATTGAACATTTTAGTGGCTAAGCATACGTTTTAAGACAAGGACTCGTAAATCAATACAGTGACTTAACTCAACTGGGCTTCAAGCTGCATTCAGTACATAAATGTAAACACATTTGTACTTCATCTATTAATGTCTTGGTTAAATTTCTTAAGTTAAAACAAGAACCTTATTTGAAGAATGAATAGCCGAACGTCGTTTACTGAAATTTTAGACTTAAAAACGATGGTTATTGTATCGCACTTAGATGACAAAAAATTTAGTAAAGTCTTCATTTATTTTATTACTTTAATAAACGTAAATACAAAAACGCAGATATAAATATGTAAATTAAAAACTTCTATTTTTAACCTTACCTCAACTTTACTGTCGGTAAATTTCAGTTGTGTTTAAAATTGCCACCCAAATGCAAGCAGAAAACCGAAGAATTTCATTGGCCAGTGAATCATATCCAAACGAATAAGACGGGGTGGGAGGGATTAAGAGCGGAAGTATTTCTTTGGACATTGATTGGGCTGTGAATCTTACCTACGCAAATAAAACGACCCCTAGAGGTGGGAGGCATTAAGATCGGCGGTGTCGTTACCGAAGTGTAGCAGTACTGACACCTTGTGGACAACAGTTTTCATTGCGGCAAATATGCTACATTAGATTAGATGCTTGAAACATAACAAATGGGGAAAAACGGCACGCCCTTCTGACAGGTTATTTTCTGTATTTATGATATCTTGGAACAGGCTAAAATAATAGATTTTATAATTGCTGCACCTGTTATAGTCTCTATCTGTTACAATTCAAATTTATGTTCTGTTACATATCACATTGTTTTGGCATAATATTTTAGATATGAGTGATACATAATTAATGTAATAATCAAATATATTTATTGGGCACCACAGTGGCTAACACAAAATCAAAAGAAAAAGATGCGTACTACTCATATACCAGTAAGTGAGGATTTTTTTTCACAAGACCACCTACTATGCTGCTATGTTGTTACAAGTCACTGGTGTTTTCAGTCAGCCCTGACAAGTAATTAATTGAGACTACAGTTAATCATTCTTGCTGTGTGTAAGCTGAAATCCTTTATGAACAACATGGCAAGGAATAAAACTGGAAAGATGAAACAACATGCTCGAGTGTCCAGCAGCTTGGATCATGGGTGCAGACTAAACAGTTGTAGCTTAGCTGGTTAAAGACTGTGAATAAAATAGTTTGTTCTTATTTAACAGGCATGTATTAACATGTTTTCTTGCTCAAGAAATTACAGCTTAACAAAATAAGATTCTCATTTTTTCCGTCAGTGTTATATATTTCATGGTAGTCTATCCATCCATCTATTTTCTGTAACCACTTGTCCTATTCGAGAGCCAATAGATGTGAGGCAGGGAACAACCGAAGACTGGGAACCAAGTCATTGCAGTGGACATATACACGCTATTCTCACCTACAGGCAATTAGGTCACTTCTCAGCGTGCTTTGGGAATGTGGGGGGAAACTGGAGTACCCAGAGGAAACCCCACAACGATATGGAAAGCACATGCAAACTCCACACACATGGAGCCATAGTGGAGACTCAAACCCTGGTCCCAGAAGTATGAGGCAACAGTGCTAACCACTGTGTCGCCCCGATGCTAGTTTTAGAAGTACATTTTTTAACTTCTAATTTTGATCTGTGAAGTACTTGAAGATTAACAGTTGTAATTCTTCCAGATACATGAAGAAGCACAATTGGCATAATTAGTCTGCATTGTGGAGAGCTGAATGCACATGGTGCTTTTATTACAGAACCAATAAGCTGGAGGATACCATGTCTGTTCTGGTTAGGGGGAAACCATTAGTGTATATAATAGCAAAAGTTAAAACAATCAGTGGCCACATTATAAGGCACCCCTACATAATATCAGCTTGGTCCCCCTTTTGGGTCCAGAGCCTCTTCAAAAGTTAATGAGTTCCATGAAGCCTTTCTGCACACCACTGTTGTACTGAGCTGTTATTTTTGCACTAGTGGACTTCCTGGTAGCTTTAATGAGCGTGGCCAGTCTCCTCTGACCGCTCTTATTAATAAGGTGCTTTTGCCCACAGGACCTGCCACTAACTATGTGCTTTTTTGTTTATCACACATTTCCATGCAAATGCTAGACAATGTAGTAGATGAAAATCACAGGATGGCTGTTTCTATTACAATGACCACATGTGGCGTACAATGCTTAAAGTCACACATTGCAGCCTTTCGAATGCTTAGTAGCGCAGTAACTGAAGTTTCTGACCCTTGGTGCATGTTATATGTATTCAGCTGCAGCCATGATTTGCTATTTATAGGAGCAGGTTATTTGTGTTAACGAGCAGATGGCCCCAATAAAGTGGCCACTGAGGGTAATTGTATTAGCAATGAAATGCTGGGTATTGTAGTTACAAGTACTTGGCTTTCATGTTCTCTTTCTCTTAAATTGACTCATAAAGTTAACTTATTTCAATTTTTTTTCTTTTTGCATTTAAATCAAATCATTGTGAATTTTCAACCCAAACACCATTAAGCAAATTAAAATCATCATATTCATTTCCACCCTTCTACATTCTAATTCCATTTGTGGTTGTGTTTTAAGACGTGCCTTTACCAAATAAGTCTCCTTTCCCTCACCTCAGTGATCCTGTCAATATAACCTATATCATAATTAAGCGCTTGGACAGAATCACACCAGCGCTCTTGTAAACACCATAGGAGTGTCTCCACCTCCATCTCCCACTTCAAAGACAGCTTCTTCCCACAAGAAATGGGAACTGTAAACACTCTGGCTTGTGACTCTGACAGCTAAACCCCATAAATACTCCTCTGACTCTGTGAAATTTGTGCCCATTTATTTCAAATCTTCTAATTGCACAATACTGCATTTATGTTGCGAACTTCTCCTACATTACTGTGCACTGTACCACTTCAATGTACTTGCTGAAGCCAATGTGCTGTAGCACCTTACGGTCTTGCACCCCCTAAACCCCATATTAGGAGAGACTGTGTCACAAGAATTTCATTGCATTCTTTGAATACACTACAATAAAATTTGTATCCGAACTGAATCTGAATGTGACACAATCTATGAAAAGGGCTGCATGGTGGTGTGCATTAACACAAGAAACAATATATATATATATATATATATATATATTTTATTATTAAGACATGTTGCGTATCCGCATCCTTACATCTTATGGCTGTTGCAATCACAGCCTGGATAATTAAACTCATTCATTTAAAATGAACAGTTACAGCACAAACCTCAAATAGTGCCCCTTCTTGCATGTTGCTCTATTACAGTATTTATTTTTTGCCTTCAGCATGCAGCTGGGGATCAAAACTATATCCCAGGCTGACTGTGTGCTTTTTATTTCAAGTTCATCATGGCCTGAAGGTGTATTTCACTACTGGGTTAAAGGCTGGCCTACTGATTAAATCAAAATGACATTAAGGCATACAAGAATGAGCCTATCTTTGAAGAACAGATCATCAATGCCACAAGAGCCCTCCCCCAAAATAAAAACACATCTACACACTTATTCCTAATGTATTTTTCAAAGAAAGTATTTGTACATATATAAATAGTCAAATATACATTTGTAATTGCATTACATCACATGTAAATGCATTATATAGACACTTAAGCAAAGGAGATCTTAAGGTTTCTGTGATAGTCTCATTAATACTTTTATCCAGAAATGACCATACTCACTTTGGGAATATTTAGCAATAACATTTTAAAGAAAATTTTAAAGAACCTCAACATTGTGTAATGCTCTAAATACCCCACAACTGTAACCATACATGAAAATGACATTATTGTTCTAAAGAACTGCCATGTATATATGAAAATATGGAAATACTGAATCACACATCACCAAGACAAAACCTCGGAATAAGTCAATGCAGATTACACAACACTTATCTTCCTTTTTAGCGTGATTACACATGGACAGGATTATCCATTATTAGTACAAACATATGGCACAGCAGTGATTTACAAAAGAAGAGTGATATGCCTTATGGTCGCAGTCAAAGTTAAACAGCAACATACTGTAGCATTGAGGACTGAATGTCACTAGCTTCTACCGCTGGGGTGTCAGAGTTTTTCTAGTGTGCCCTGTGTATCAGTTTTCTACACCCACTTCCTGCTTTAATTATTTTGATATTCAATAAATAATTTAAATGAATACAATGTATACGATTCTCCCAAGGAAAAGGCGTAGGACAACAAGCAGATGCCAGTCCTACAGAATGTAAAACCATTTCACCTTTCCATAAATGTTAATCATTTACTATGTGATCACCATGGGCAAAGCAAAACGGGCTGTGACAGACAATCTGTTATGTACATACAGTCCACAGAGGTCATTAGATTCTGTCGTTTCCGCTCCACTGGGATTCGAGATGGCTTGAAGGATGGCTGCAGTGGCCTGCTGTACCAGCACTCCAGCTGGAGTTTGGGGGAGAAGAAGCCATTTTCAGAGACACAAGGTGTTCGGTCAAGTTGGCTGCAAGTCTCTCAATGGCTCTGCAGGGCAAGACACAGACACGTGGGAGAAGAGGGAGAAGAGACCTTAAAGTAGCTCAGCTGAATGATACATACCAGCTATTTAAAACGGCACAGGTACATATGAAAATCAACCAACAGTGATATCTAATTGTAGACTCTTAGGCAGATGACTGGCTTATATTAAACAAATGAGGAAATGTTGGTCGGAAATAACTTTCAGCTCTCAGACTGTTTGCTAGCCACCCCACTAACTCCCCAAGGATGGTGCACAGTGGTCATAGGTCTTGCTCTGCTGTATCCAGCCACAGCTGGATGGTCTTAGCAGGGCTGCTCGGTTATGACTCACGTCGCAGCCATTACCACTAAATGAATAGTTTTCTTACAGTACACATTGTGGTCTGGGGTGATTATACATGAGAGAGCGATCACCCTGAGCTGTGAATTTCCAGACCTGCTCTCGGTGGGAAGCCACACTTCTACTCTCACTGAGAGATACGGCCCGGAAACTTCCTTTTAACACTCAACACGCTTCCCCCGTGCACAAGCTACCAGATGGAAAGGAGCCGTGTTAACATACTTCCTTAACATCACATTTTCCAACTGTACGTGCTGCACATGCAGTTACAACAGGAACCAAAACTCTTGAGCCAAATGTATAAGCAATTGTATTGTTTTATAATGATACTAATGAACATCATTATGCAGCAAATATAAACAAAAGATGATTATATAGAGGAATAACAGACCCATATTGTATAAATATTCTGCTTAGTGTATGTGTGTGTGTTCTGAGAGCCTAATTAAATCACAGCTGCTCAGAATTGTTTCTTTTCCCGGCTTATGTCTAACATTTAAATATGATTATTGTGAAACAATACACTTGTTAAAGAAATTTTAAGTATTTAACAGAAAGCCTCAGGCTGCCTTAAATAAAAAGCTGAGTTAACATTTCAGTGAGACACCCAAGAATCTTTTCTTATAATGCAGGTTGTCACTAGGCAATGCGTCTCCAACTTTTTAAAATTGTTAATACCAGATTTTATTTTATTTTTTTTTACAGAAATCCCATATTTTTTTCTTATTCTGAAAAGCTCTGTGTAACATCAAGCACAGCTGTCTACACTTGCATCTTCCCTATCTGTAGTATGATGGAAGTTCTATTACAACTGATGGGAACCAGACAGCAAAATAGCATCTCCCATAAGGACGTTCGCTTTTGCACATACGAAACAAAGACCCTCAGTGGAATTATGTGGTAGTGCATATGCTGAGAAATCGCTACAGTAGACTGTATGTCACTGTTTGAAGTGAGAAGAATGATCAAGGTATCGTCCATACCATCTGAAATATATAACTCTCACCTCTTGTGAGTTTTATCTTCCGGAACCAGTGCTTCTGTCCTCAAAAATTGTTATTTCAACCTGGGAAGCAGCAGTGTTAAGAATGAACAATGCTTCCGAGAGACATAAACGCCGAATGAGTTAATTCCCAAAAGGAAGCTCAGGATAAGTACCGAGAAGACCCACAGCGTCACTGAACTGCGGTGAAGGGAGGTAGAGGGAATACAACTCAAGCGGTTTGGGGCCTCTCCATGCTCCCCTCAGTTGAGCTCCTGGGCCAAAATCAGCAGCTTAGCAGAGACGTGCTAGAGAAATAACCCAGGTCACCATGCAGCCAAAAAACATTTGAGGAGCTGGCAGCGGCTGAATTTCAGTAATACTTCACAAATCCGGCCTTCATTGCCAGTAATTTTAACGTCAAGCCTAGTAGACTTGTGGAAAATGTACATATTAAAGAAGTCTCACAGATTGTATGCAGATGTAAAGGATTAATGTTATTTTCCTTCCATTATCACAAAGAACTCTTCCTCAACCCCATGGCTCAAGAGCCATGGAACAGACCCCAATTTCTAAAGAGATACAGCCATCTTAAAAGAGCTGGCAGAGCACTAGTAGAGTAGTCAGAATCCTGACATCTAGAGGTAATCTAGGAATAGCTTTTGGTTATGAATACCTTTAAACCATCAGTGTAGTGTGTAGCATTTAATCACACAACGTAACCCTGCATAGCTACTGCATTCAGGCCAAGCGGTGCTTGATGGTTTACAGGGCTCATGTGAGACAAAATTCCTGTGGGAACTGATCCATTGATCTGACGGGTTTTCAGATTTATTACAAGTCTGTTAGGCAGCCCCTCAAAGATCCATAAAACTCCTGCGTTATTAAATCAATCTGAAGACACAATCGACCACAATTTGCCTGCTTGTTGATAAGACTAGTTTAAGGGGTGGCACTGCTGAATGAATTATCATTCAAATATTCACTGACATATGCCTGTCTAAATACATAGTGGGTGTCAGAAGCTGAGAACTGGCTAACAGAAACTGACTGAGCCATGCTGCATGACAGACAGAAGGTTAAAAAGGATACAACTCTCAGGCCTCTTTCAATAGGGTCAGTGAGCAACAGGCCCCGAGGTGCATAGATCTTGTCATTTTGCTCTTGGATATACTTAGCTATCTTCTTCAAAACCTGAAAGCATAAAAAGAAAGGCAATTATGTCAGAAAAGGAGAGGAAAAGGATGTAGGAATTTCCAATCACGTACATCCAGTGCACCCTGGATGAGATAACAGTCCATTGCAGGGCACACACACACACATATACACACTATGGACAATTCACCAATTCACACCAGTTCAACTATCTGCATGTCTGTATATGTGGACTGCAGAAGGAAACCCTGCCATGAAAGAGAACATGCTAACTCCACAAACACAAGGTGGGGGCAGGTTTCAAACACCTTACTAGCACTCTGTACAGGTCAGGTGGTGTTGGGGAACAGGGTTTATCACCGATTTGCTTTAACAAAAGACCAGTTCAAACAGATGAGGTTAGTAACGGGAGAAAAATAGTAATTATTTTAAGAATTACCAGTGAAATAGTATTTGGCAAACCAGTCTCTAACAGTGAAATAGAACACTCACCATGTACAAAGCTGTGTTTAAACTACATTAAATACTTCATATATAAGGTAACTATACTGTAACAGGGATGCACAATTAAACTACTGTATTTTATAAGGTGCAGAATCAGGACATAGTTAGAAATAATAAATGGGGAGTCAACGATGTATTATTAGGAGATGAATAAAAATTCAGGCAAAGGCTAAAAACGCAGCCTGGCTTGCAGACCTGTGTGGCCGTGCAAGTACAAGAAGTACTACGAGATATGATCACACCAGTAATACATCTAAGCAAAGCTAAATATACTGAGCCAACAAAGTTGACTGTAAACTAAGAGGATACCAAGAACCCATCCAAGCTCATGAGCACACGTGCCTGAGAACCAGGACATTCTCAGATCCTGGCAAGCAGTATATTCAGGAAACGTCTGACCACAAGCCTGAATCTTTATTAGGATGCTGTCGGTCATCTGAAACCAAGGTGATCGACTGAGGACTTGCCTGAATCAATGCTGTCTCCTGGTGCCTTTCCAACTGAGGCACCATGATTAACCCACTGATCCGAGGAAAACATCCAGTTACTGGCCGACTTTGTACTATTGCGTAGCTGGTCACAGATAAGATTTCTATCCAAGCTCACTAAATGCACCCAAAGAACCATACTTGAACAATGAAAATTGTTCAAAATAAAGCCAAATGCTTAACGGAGCATTAAGCTTCAGTCTTCACCTTGGTGGGATTCAGTAAGAAGGTTTCTATCCAATATGTGTAGCTGTGCATTGTGCATCCAAGGGGTATCAATCGCACACTAACTAGCACAACTTTAGCAAGATAAATATTCTCTTAATCTATCCATCTTCCAAGTGCTTATCCCAGAAGAACATGCAAACTTCAGACACACACGGAGAAGGGGTGGAATTGGAAAACCCAACCCTAGAAGTATGAGGAATCAGTGAGCTACTGTGCCACTCAAAAAGAAAATAACACATATTACTACTTGAGGAAGAATGCAAAACAGGGGGCCTTTGGAGATCTTGGGCCCCATGAAGGCATATCATACTGTGTTCCCAAACCACACCAATCCAATCCAATTATGCTCCAAATTTCCTCTGTCACTCAGGGGCGATTGGAATAGTCTTAACTCGCCCCCCTTTACAGTGTCCCTGATGCAATACGATCATTTTTTTGCACGAAGTGCAAATGAATAATTTACTAAAAACAAAAGGCGGAGATATCACCCTGATCACAATCACAATTAAATCACATTGCTTTATCTAGAGTATGTATAAAGTCAGAAGGCACATTAAATGCATTAACAAACAAAGCACATAACCACAGCATTAAAATGAAGTCCTACTCAGGCAGTAAGATTTTAGCATCTCACATACTGTAGACGTAGAAACCACACAAACATTGCCACTTTGCAGTGATATGTACACATTCTTCACAGAGATGTAATGAGTAGGAAATGTGCAAAGTTCTCCAACCTTCTCATAGTGAGTCTCCATGCACAGGAAGATGGTGTATGCGGTGAGACAAGCTAAGCAGCCCTCCACGTACGACTGGCCACCCAGTTTCTCCGCCTCGGCGTACAGGTTATTCAGCATCCGCAGGGTTTCCTCAAACTGTTGCTTGTCAATCTGAAATACACACAGCCTAGAAGCTGTTACCGACTACAGGGCATGAAAGAGTGAGTGGTGAAAAGACTGGCAAAAGGAAACAAACACTTTCAAATTGCTCACCACTGTTTCATCTCCCATGTCACTTACGTTAATAAATACCATATGATGCAAAATGAAAGGCATTCCTTAAATACCACTTTGATTCATTTACACCTGCTAACCCATGCCATGTATTAGCTAAACTTATTCCCAGAAATTACGATTGGACATCACGCAATCTTAGCTTGGCTGCATATTTAAAGCAGTTTTTACAGGGCACACAGCAGGCCTGGCAAACAGAAACAGTAACAGTAGTGAGCATTGTGCGCCTCCGCAGAGTTAGGCTCTGCAGCCACGACCAGAAGATTTCCATTTCAACTCCTGTGGCTGGCAGAATGGTGCCACCCTTGGGCCCGTAACCCCAGCTGCTCCAGGCGTGCTGACTAACCCTGCACTCCGATTCCAAAATTTACCTGTCTGTGTGTCTCACGGGGAGCAATATTGAACAGCCAAAATCTCAATTTCCCCTTGGGGATGAACAAGGTATCACTGTTCTATATAACAAGACGCTTTTACATATATGGACCCTACACAGGAAGATAAAAGGAGCAATGGAAAAAAATGACATTCTGTAGATTAGGCCAACCTGTATTGATAACTGGGACCAGGAAACAAGGGTTTTACGGAGTTTTTTTTTTTATCTTGCAATGACTAGAGTCTCCAGTTTCCTTCAAAGTGGAGCATCCCTCACTTGTCAGTAGAAAGCCCTTCTGGGTCTCTGGGAAAGATTTTACCCACATTTCATTCATGCCCCTGCAATTTTACAAAAAAGCTCCTGCAGATCAGTGGCGATAAGCATTGCCCAGGACCCCATGCAAAGATTTTCTTTGCACTCCCCTAATCTGGCCTCAAGAACCACATTTGTGCGCTTGCGTCTTTCCATTACACGGTGTCCCATTGATGTCTGTTTACTGGGCACCAAGTGTGGAAAGTATTCCTGTCACACGTTTCCAGTCCTCAGCCTTTTGTGTCTGTCTATGTAAGCTTAACTTAAAAACGCATCTAATGGTAACTGAGTATTACAACGCAGTATTCAAAACTAAGGCAAAACATAGCACAATAATGACTGGAACTGATGCAGAACTCAGATAAAAGACAGATGTTGTATTTGTAGCGTTTGGCAAAATGTAAGTCAGTGAATAAGGTAGTACTGGAACTGACACAGAACAAAGATAACCTATAGCGTGGATGGTGTATTCCATTAATGCTCATTGAAATAAGCACTCTGCACAGGTCAGGTCTCGGTCATTATCACATCTTATACCACTGCTGGGAAATTTTAGGCCGCCGAGTGTGAAGCCCAATAACTGGAGACTTGACAGCATCTCACTACATGATCTCTGCCTGGAAGGCTGCCAAGTCCATTCAGCTAAGGAATTCAATGCAGGGCTTTCTAGAATAATATACAATCCGAAAAGAGCAAACGAGAAACGGGCATAAAAAGATAACACCAAAGAAGTAATATGTAGGTAAACAGGAGATTTACGTGTGTGTTTATATATATACACACACACACACACACACACACACACACACACACACACACACACACAAACTACTGTCTCTGCACCTACTCCAAGATACAATTTTCAAAGGTAAAATTATTCCTCACAGAGATAAAAAAAAAAAAAAAAAGATTTATTCATTAAAAGAATAATCAACCCAGTGCTAGGAATAAAAATCTGGTCTAAATTAGATCAATATGACTAAGAATATAAGTAAAACATCACGCCTGGCTCAATCGCTTATGCGCTTGCTTGAGACCAGCCCATCAATCCAACATTAAGAAAAGGCCAAGCGTTTGTTTTCAGCAGAATGTTTTTTTTTTTTTAATTAAACTGTTCATTGGAACTACCCTGTTTTCAGTTTGCCTGCCAGTTAAGGACAATGTCTACCTTACACCCAGAGGCATATTAACATGGTCAGAGCCTATTTGAGCTGTTAGAGGGCCCCCTATGGTCAAACGGGGAGGGCAGGGGGGTCCTGATGATAGCATTTGCCGACCAGGGGGTATCGGTTCAAAATTGGTGCATTTTATTATTCAATACGGGACGATCGCATATAACATGAGATGATCCTGTAAAATACAGGTTTAAAATTTTATTTAACAAGAGTGGTTGAGGCCCCTGCATTAATGTGCCCCTGCTCATACAGCACAGGACAGGACAGGACAGCCATCTTCAATGAAGCCTCATAATCAGGCAGTACTTGGAATTCAGCTTGCTTCCCTGTCATGTCATGTGACTGTCAAGTGACTGTCATGTGACGACAGATCCAGGAAATCTTTCCTTCCGTGAACCACTGGTTCACCATAGTTGGCTTTTTACAAAGAATGAATGACTGTGATGGAACTTGATAGCTAAACATACAATTCGATTCAACAAGATCTGACAAGAAATGCACGGAACTTTATATAAACATTCACTTTAAGTAATAGAAAAAAGGTAGAATATTTTATATATGTGTACGTCTGTCTGTCTGCGCACACATGCACACACACACACACACACAAACACACACACATATATAAACCAGGCCTACTTTGATTGAAAACCCTCAGTATATGAAAGTTCAAATGAGCATGAGAACTGCGTCTCTGTAGAATACAGGTCTTAGGGTAAATTATAGAATAACAGTAATATTGTAGTTTAGATTAACTGAGACTGAACAATCTGGGCTAAGGAACGTGGTCCGGAAGCAATCAGATGGGCTTTAGAGCATGTCAACCCTACAGGCAAACTCCCCGCCCCCCACCTTAGGTCACATGACAGAGTGGTTTACCATACCCTGGACTCCAGTTCAGATGGGAACTTGGTCTGGAACTGGCACATGGTGCCATTAGTGTAGTCCCTCTGGATGAAGACTTTAGCAGCAACGGATGCCTGCTGCCTAATGTCCTGCAGGCTGTGAGTCTGAGAGGAGTAAAAGAGAACAACATTTGCCAGTGTTGGCCCCTTCGATGAGTGGCTGACTTCTGCCTAAGGCCCCTACAATGGTTTTTCCATCACATAGTCAGGAAAAATACATCCCCATTGACAGCCAACATCAGCACGGAACAAAAAAGCAAATGACCTGCCAAGCTGAACAAAAAGGTTAAATTATTACAGAAAAAAAGAGTACCTGTTCCATTTCAACAAACTACTTCCTTATGCATCATAAAAGATAATTTAAGATGTTAGCAAATCTTAAAGGGCCCACATTTTATATGGACCATCTGTTCATGTTCTAACCAATATTTAAAAGTTAATGGCTGTAACATTAAGATAAATATATAAATTAAGGTGGAAAATAGAAACCAATTTCACCCTAAGGGTTCACAAGTTGATGATGCTCTTACATGGATGTCATATAGAGTACAATATACCCTTTAAACAACAACAAAAGAACTAGATTCACATGTTTCACAAGGAATAAACAGCAATCTTTGATTTAAAAGTGAAAACGGAAAAAAAAACGTGTTTTAATCACACAGAAAGTATGCTATTAATAAGAGTGGTTTTGTGGCTATGTAAATCCATAGAAACTAGTGCCTTCATGCTCATTCTCCAGGTTTTTTTTTCTTCCTCAAGGAATTTTCCCGCCTCGCAAATTCAAACACTATAACATATGTAATTACAGACTGCTCATATAATAGTAATCAAAATATTTAATGTGCTAGGTTATCAGAAAACAGACTATTTCTGATATTCTCATTTAGGGTCATTCTTGTATCTAGGCGTGACTGAGAAGTTAACTTCGGTTAACTTGATAGGAGGAGTTGAAACACCTTACGGCAAAACGAGGCATATGATGGAATAATAATCGTCTAATTTAAGTAATGAACATTTCATTATTAACTTTAATAGAAAATATTACAATTTTTATGTTCGTCTAGTTATTATTATTATTATTATTGCGATAGTGTTTCTTCGCAAAAATTGAGTTTAACATGACTGGAAAATGAAAACCAGTCTTCTGGTAACGTAAGTAGTTTAAAGCGATTTTAATTGAGCGATCAGTTCAAATAAAGACTCGAATAATTAAAGGGCTACTGGAGAGAAACCCAGCTTACCCATTAAAACGAGGCACACCTCCGAGAAACGCTATGATCTTTACACAAGCTAAAAAGAAGATATGTATTTTATTTGTTCGTTTCGGACCAGCTACGCATGCTTTTTGACTGGTCCATTAGCATTTAACTCGGGGGGCAAACACACAGTGTTCCACAGACTTTAATGTCTTCCCGGTGCGTTCCCAGTCTTTTAATGGATTTCCTTTACAGCATGCACTAATCTCGTTTGGCTTTAACGTAGCTATCAAATCGTTTTTAAAAAGAAGCATCTGACAGCCCGTCCCGTGCTTTAATTTTATCGTCCACTTTATTACTATGTCTTGAGATCGAACCAGCAGCGTAATAATAAGACGGTGGCTGCAGACAGCACAGTTCACAGCTCGGAGAAGATAGAAAATATAAATTATCGAGCGATCATTATTTATTATAGTCTTTGATTGAGCTCCACAAGCGCCTTGCCTCCATCAGCGACGACAAGAACAACAGCGTTAGTTACAGTAAATAAAACGCAAAGCGTCCAGATTTACAAAACCCTTCCTGGGTTATTCGGTTTCCCATGAATTAAAGTGATTAACTCAACAGCCTTCGTAAAACCACGTCGCTTATCTGTTAGCCAGCTCTCAAGCAAAGGCTTTGAAAGCCACCCTCCGCCTTAAGCTTGTCGCGGTCGTGTTTTATTATTCGCGTATAAACTTATAAGCTGAGTTTTCAAATGCGATCGATCAGCGGAAATACGAAGTTAAAGCTATGCCCGGAATTTTCCACGATGTATATAAATAAGATGATCCAAATTTCTATAAAAACACAGAGGCAGCCCTTACCTCCGCCATGTTTAAAGGGGATGCGTCCCATTTGCCTGCCTTGACATGTAAGCATTACGGAAGGTGGCCGCTCCGCTGACGCACTTCCCGGCTGTCAGGGCGACATATAGTGACATAGTGACAGTCTACGGTTAAAGAAATACGTAGGAAGACGCAGGCGGGTTTACAGACTGTCCGCAACACTCTATTTCTGTATGAGCCTGGTATACTTAAATTTTAATGCCACCACATATATTTTAAGTTCTAACATACTCTTTCAGCCTTAACTGCACTAATTACATGAAAGTATGTCTGGCTAAGAATGCAATAATGCATTTTATTTCTTTTTGGTCTTTCACATGCTTTACTAATGCACTAATTACATGAAAGTATGTGTGAATAAATGGTTAAGAAGCAATAACGGAATTTTTTTCTTTTCGGTCTGTCAAATGCTTGCCTATGGATACTTTTTATGCAGGAATTTTGGGAGCCACAATTAGACAAAAAAGGTCTTGTTTGCAAGCAAGATATTGAACCTACTGCATCTGGTGTTTATTTTCAAATTATGATTACTAATTACTATTTATTTTATATGAATCCTCCAGTGTTTACGATAGATAGATTTGATGTTCCAGTTTTTTTTCCTGTATTTTCAAAAGTGTGTAGTGCTGATTTATTGTACTTCGGATTTTTAATTTTTCAATTTTTACTAGTTTAATTTCTGCCTGTATGGTAGGTCCTTTAATTATTTAATTGTCCGAGTTCTGAGACAACTCCACATCTGTACGTAATGAAGAAGGAGTAGGATATTTACTGAACACTCTTTGTGTAGACTGCTTTTTGTTTTTGTGTTTTGGTTATAAAAATAAATTCAGAATTATTTTGTTGATAAATACCACAGGCATTTATTCATTTCATTTATTTATTTAATCTTCCAAATAGCTTCCTATCTTCCCAGTTTCTGAACATGTGAGATGTTGCTTTTATTAGCATCATCTTCCCCATTAATATTTTTTATTTACAATAAGACACTTATCCAACCACTCAAGTCAATCAAGTACAAGCTCATAAGTGAATCAAAATTCATGTTTATATATTGGATTCTTATAGGCTTTTTAATTCTTGAAATTATTGTAATATATGAGGCATTTCTCTTTAAGTCAAATTATCAAATACAGGTAATAACCAAATTATGTGACAGGTACTAGTACAGGTACTGTTGTACAGGTACTGTTGATGCAGGTTGTATGACAACAGTATGTACAGTACATGTTTTGCATATCTGAGCAGTCAAAGATGTAAATATGTTCTAATCTTGATTACCAAAGTCCCTTTAAAGGCCTGGTATCAAATGCAAGAACTGCATTTTACACCTGAACTGAGTGATTTCTCAGGCAGACTTCTTTATTGATGATTGCTTCGTATGTTAAACTGATATTTAGTGCATAATGCATACATTTAATGCATAAATGAACAATAAATTGTGTTCATCTGAAAGGAAACTTCATTTAAAAAGTATGCAAAAATATCTGCTCATCTGTGATTGCATGTAATGTTGGCTGGTAAGATAGTGGGTAGAGTGAAGTCTGTCTGACTTCTGTAAATAACGTTTTATAGACATGAGTGTATTATGGTGATATGTTTATCAACTGGAGCTGTAGAGTGAAAGTCACAGGAGATATATCATTTTCAGAATAAACTGAATAAGAATAATCTGTTTTAAATTACAATGCACTGTCCAGAATAAAAATAACCACAGCAGATAATCTGACAGGCAATATCAATATCACATTTTTCAAATGAGATATTTCAGTTCTGGATCTGATTTTTCACATTTATAATGATATGATATATTCTGGATACTGTTACAGATAGGGTAGCACATGCAAAAGTTTGTGTAAACAAAGATGTGTAAAAACAAATGTCTAAATACAGAAATGTAAATTAAAAAGCGGTCATACTTTTAGTACGCAGCAATGTTTTCTAGTGAACTGATATAGCTAAATACATACATATTTTCCTTTATTCTGGGAACAATGTTAAGTTAAGGTTAAGGTTACTTCATTGTCATCAACGGCTTTATACATGTACAAAGTGTGATGAAACAACGTTTCCTCATGGCCCCGGTGCAACATCTAGTAACACTGAACATCTCATAAAACAGGGCAGAAAGGTGCAAACAGGCAACACAATAAAGTGCAAAGAGTGCGATCACATTACAGTACACAACAATTTACAATGAATATATGGAACAATAAAAGGACAGAACAGTACACAACACTACACAACACTCCAGTATTTTTGAGTGGGGAGCCTTAATGACTGAAATTGCACATGGTAATTATATTATATTGCACAGTACTATTGCACTGGTTTCTATATTGTACATAGTAACCATGAAAGTGCAGGTATGAGGTATTTCAGAAGAGCTATGATCTAAATTTAAAGTGCGTTCAGAGCCTGAAAAGTCTGAAAGTACTCACAAACAGAAACTAATTTCCACCACATTTAGCTTTTTGATATACCTTGCTTAACTCTGCTTTCTGCTTTTTAATACATTTTATTCTCCATTCGTATTTTGCTTTTTACCAGTATGAGCCTACGTGCTTCTTGATTTTTATTTATGCCTTAATATTGCTTATACACAACACATGATCTTAATAATGTAGTTTACCAGATGTTAACAGGAAGTTATTTACATGAAGTACATTTTTAAGTACTCTATCTTATGTATAAATATTGAGAACTTTGGCATCCACAAAAATTGCTTGTTTTTATAGTGGTTAGAATCTGTTTTGCGTTGATAAGGCATCTCTTAGCATCTTTTAGTGTTCATAGATCAGGGTTCTGTCATCAGCCTGTGAAGATATTTAGCATTTCCAATAGACATATCACATTCTTTCTATTGAGGATTGTGATGCACTAATCCTTGGTCTGGGGGCAATTAACCATCATATGTTCTTAATACATCTGCTCAAATGGTGCTCATTACACGTCTCCTTGAACGCAATAGTCAGACTATGTACACGGACTGACCAATTACTCAGCTAAATACAGCTTTCTGCTAAGGTACCATGGAGGAATTCTCTAACTTCACACTTCTCCACTAAGAATCTCCTCTGATGCATCCTGGCTTGCAAAGAAGAAACTGGTCTGCAGTCCAAGAACTTGTTTTACACAGAGGTTTCCGACTCACCTGGGACCTAAATACTATGGATAATCATAGCAGCAAACCTGGTAACGCAGAAAGCATATCACTTTAAAGTCTATTTTTCTGCGGAAGTTAGTCCTATAAACTGGAACTTCATTTCAAATTAAATAATAATAGAAAACACAGTTCTTTATATTTATTTATACTTATACTTAACAAAGAAGTACATGAGTTGAAAGATAAGGACAAAAACTGACACCTGAGTGCTATTTAAATGCTTTTTATTGTTAAATAAATGTTAATGATGCATAATAAAATTGACCAGATGAACTTCCAATTTTATTGTGTGGCTTAACTATTGTCAGTAAATATCCCAAAATAATAATGATAATAATAATAAATCATACTTCCTATGCCATGTAAAGAGTCAGTAATGTTTCTCAATGTGTTCAGTGGTCTGTTGCTGTGAAGCGTCATGGGATGAATTTCCTTGCTTTCAGTCAGAGTCAGATGAGTATCATAGCGTATAACCACGCTAAGCATTTTATTTAGCCACAGTTTGTGAATAATGTACTAATTGAAAAAAATCTATGTTTACTTTATTACTCATACATATTTCACTGATACGTTTATACTGGATTTACAAAAGATTAAATCACGTCATGTAAATTTGATGCAATACCTTAAAGAAACTATAGGGGTGGTAGTAGCAGTTATGTTCATGTGTTTCAGGGATTAACATTACTGATACGCAAGTACGCATTCACCTTTATTAGGGGATACGTGTGGTACGTAATCGATTGTAGTAACATCGTGAATTCGATTGCTGATGCTTATTTTATGTGCATTTGCGCCGATATGACAAGAAATTATGGTGCATTTTAACCTTTATATGCTAATTCGTACTTCATTTGCGGTATAGAGGTTAAAATGCACAGTAATTTCTTAACATATCGGAGCAAATGCACATAAAATACGTACGTATTTGCGCTGTTACATTAATCCCTCACGTATCGTTTTTAAAGGTGAATGTGTACTTGCGTACCAGTTATGTCAATTCCTGTTTATGAGCCATACTTCAAGTATGGGCAATATCTACAGAAATAATCCCAAAGTAAAGTGTTTAGTTGATTGATAAAAATCAGATTAAGTAGTAGTGTGCACAATGAAATGGAAACATCCACTGCAAGCTGTTCTTACTTTTTGCATGATGAGGCCAGTTATATGTGGGATTTATAGTGTAGTTCACTCTGGAAAGTTCACCCCGGTCACCTGAATCCCATTACTGACTCTTTTTTATCCAGATGGTCAAACATTATGATTCATGGATAAAAAGAAGAATAACCTATTTTTTGCTTAAAGTATGTGATGTTCTATAACCATCCAGAGGAAAAAAAAACAACGCTAACTTTGGTCTTCTACAGAATTCTCTTTGAAAAGGGAGTTATTGTTGTATGCAAGAATGAATAACAAAGGTTTAATAGTGAGCACAGAGGAGAAACAATGAGGAACAGATGTGTTTCCAGTACAATGTGCATCTGTACTAAAAGAGTGTGGGCCCCTGAACCCAGGCACGTCTGGCAGTATTCCAAGGTCACTGTGTGACAGGTAAATGTGGCCTCAAGTCACTGCGCAGTGCCAAAGACTTGGCTTTTACTCCAAGTCACAAGACATTATCACAGCTGCATTGTTCAGCTGGTCAGGAATCAGAAAGGACTTTAACTCTGAAGGTAGTTCTTATATGGAGGGACAGCAGGTTGCGTACTGCTTATGAATATGTTGCGGGTTCAGACAGAGTGCCTCGATTCTTCCAGGAAAAAGTACTTTGCAGGAATTCACAAAGTAATAAACTTATTTTCTCATTACATATTTTCCTTCGCACTATACTTTACATAAGAAAAAATGCATCCTTAAAAGCAATGCTGTTGACATTTTTTCACTGAGATTCACCAGGACCAGAAACTGTATATAATTACTAAATCTCTCATGAGTCTATTAAGCTAACTA